GCGGTGCAAAATGAATTGTCCCCGAGTGTATGATATTTTGATCTGTGGAACCGACCCATCACATTTTTTCTCAACTTTGGCAACGATGACGCCCGGAACGTCTCCAGCGCAACAGCTGCCGCCTGATTGGACATCCTCCGGTTCACGATTCGCAAGTTAATTTGAGGCAGCTTGCAAACGAGGCGCGTTTTTTCAAGGGTCCCGAGCGGTCGAGCGAAAGGTCACTTTTATTAAAGATTAAGAAGGAACCCCCGCAACCAATTGCATCGGCATTATTCAACTGCGACGGGAGCCCCCTGCTCCCCGCCGGCCGTGAGGGATGTTCGACCCTCTCCTCACCTCCCGCCGGCCGCAGCTTCCCTTGCCAATCGAAAGCCGAAGGGACTTTTCATGATTTGTTGCCCGCTTGGATGCTTGTCATGATTGGCTGAACCCCGCTGTTGCAACGTATCGATGACAAAACTCGAAAAACGTGTGTCTCCGACTGCGACGTTGCAAATCCTTTCTTGTTTCCATAAATAATTCCTGAATTTTTTTTTTTTTTTTTTTTTTGAAAAACTTTATCACTTACTAAAATATACTTACAGAACGTTTTCAAGCGAATTGGGTGGATTTATTCGGAGCTAACCTAATCTTAGTTGACGTAAATTTTCTTTCATTTTTTAATTAAAAAATTCGGCAATACTGAGCACAAACGGGGTAAATTGACAGAAAACTAAACTTCTTAACGCCGTTATACTTTCTTTTAAAAAAGTAAAAAAAAAAATGAAAGGAAATATGCAACATCTGCTGATTTTGGTAAAATCCATCACATTTTTGTCTGGATTTTACTTGGACCGACACATTTTTGCACCGAACCGCGCGCTCGCGTGTAAATCTCTAGATGTAGCCGAAACTTGTGATACAACTATATCAACTCATAAGTAGCCCAAATTGCATAGCGCCCTAGTTGAAGGAACTTCTGGTTTGTGCTGGTGTTATCATTTTCCCAGGTTTTACGGTACTTTGCAATGGATGCACATATGCTGTAAAGAAATTTGAAAGGATTATCTTAAAGTAGGAAATTTCTCGAACATACACTTCATATGAAAATACGTTTTTTCTTTATTTTTTCAAGTTTCAAAAGAACCTCTGCAAACGTTTTCAGATTCTGCATGACTCGGAATCAATGTTTTATAATATGAGAATAATGTAACCAGGATTGTATTTTTTTTCATCAGTAAAAATACAGTTTGTGAATTTTTTATGGAAACCAATGCTGTATTTTTCTTCGATTTAAATCATTATCAATTACTAGCTTAGTAGGAACTTAACGCGTCTGGAGAGGTTCTTTCGAAACTCGAAAACTGAGAGAGGAGAACATTTTTTCAAGTCGAGTTAATTTTTTAACACAAATGTACTGTTTTCATGAGATTCCTCTCAACTTTCTTTACAGTGCATACGAGGGCTGTCCCAAAAGAAACCGGACTTTTGTCATAGAAGGCGAACCAAGCGTCGGAATGAAGTTTTCTTGGGCTTGTTTGAAAGCTGATAAGCTACTGGAGATGCTTGTTTTTAAAGAATGCAAAAATTCGTCTTGGTAAGGAAACTACACGCTTTGGAATAAAGGAAAGTCAAACTCGAGTTGCGATTTTTGTATTTATTTCAAGAAAAATTTAGACACAACTTAAAAAAACCCAGGTTTTAAGGTAAAAATTCGTTGCTCTCTTATTCAAATGCTTAAAAATAAGGAAATTAACTTTTTAAGCAGCTTACCAAGTCATAACCTATCCGCTTCAAAATACTTGCCAGTTTTGTCGATGCATTTTTTTCCACCGTTTCTTCAACTGGGAGAAACACTGTTGGAAATCCTCAGGTTTGAATGATCGCAATTCCTTCAAGGTGACCTGACCTGGCTCCGTGTGATTTATTCTTATTTCCACGACTTTTTACCTTGAAAGGTCGACGTTTTCAAACCATTCCGAAAATTCAAGAGAACACCTTGTAGGAATTGCGATCATTCAAATCTGAGGATTTCCAACAGTGTTTTCTCCCAATTGAAGAAACGGTGGCAAAAATGAATCGACAAAGCTGGCGAGTATTTTGAAGGGGATAGGTGATGACTTGGTAAGCTGCTTAAAATGTTAATTTCCTTATTTACAAGCATTTGAATGAGAGCAACGAAGTTTTTAACTTGAAACCTCGGTTTTTTTTAAGTTGTATCTAAAGTCTTGAAATAAAGACAAAAATCGCAACTCGAGTTTGACTTTCCTTTATTCCAAAGCGTGTAGTTTCCTTACCAAGACGAGTTTTTGCATTCTGTAAAAATAAGCATCTTCAGTAGCTTATCAGCTTTCAAACAAGCCAAAGAAAACTTCATTACGACGCTCGGTGATCGCCTTCTATGACAAAAGTCCGGTTTCTTTTGGGACAGCCCTCGTACGCATCCATCACCAAGCACCGTTGAATCTGGGAGAGTGAATTAGCCAACAAACTGGAAACTCCTTCAACTAGGAAGCTATGCAATTTGGTCTACTTCAGAGTTGATATAGTTGTATCGCATGTTTCTGCTACATTCGGTGGTGTACACGCGGGCGGTTCCGTGCGTATGTGAATCGCTTGATGTGTAATCTTCACACGTCCATAATCTGATGAGCTTTTCTTAGCTTATTCATAAAAATAGAAAATAGAAGAAATGCTCTGAAAAGTTCTGACTTGTGAAATTTGAGATCTTTTACACTGAAATCATATAAAAAAAAGTCCGATCATTTGGTGTTTCATACCAATCGAACTTCGCTTTGTCAAACTGAACTCTCGTTTATTCTAGTCAAATGTTCGGTTCACGGTATCGAACTTCTGTTTTCAGTTTTGTTTACTCTATTAGTCTGAATTTGAACGTACGTTCGATTTGACGAATACGCACTGCTTGACAAACCGAAAACAGTCTCATTTCGTTATGACGTGTCTTGTAGTAACTTTTTTCCTGAAGCAACGTGGCTTTTTGGTAAGTCCCGGTCAATCGTTTCTTTATGTATCGTTCTTCGAATTATCTTTTTTTCCAGTCCCAGCGTTTCTATTTTAGATTCACCTTCCATAATATTTTAACAAGATACGATTGCTCGATTAATGTGGCGTCATCAACCGAACGATATCATGTGGCTCTTGTAAACACATGATTAAACTTTTTCTCAGTTTTTTCCGTCCAATTTTGATGTAAGATTCTTACTCAATTAGTTTTGGTTTTGTCATTTTTGGTAGTAACTGGCATTTGTAACTTATTCTGCCGTATGAACATTCTAGAGGTGCCAAATTTCCCCGAATATAATATGCATTTTTGAAGATGGTTATGCATATATTTCCTTGAAATTCACAGATATCTTAAATTTAATTACGAACAATATTTTCTAAAAAATTGGAAAACAAAGATTTGTTCTTTCCCAATAAGTTTGTAATTTATCAACGGTAACTATAGGCAACGCCTGAATGTTCATACGACGTTCTTCCTTACTACAGCAGTACTGCTGTGCTAAGGAAGAACGCCGTATGAACATTCGAGAGTTGCCAAATTTTCTTCGATAAAATGCTTTTTTCTGCGGAACCTTTTGAATGTTTTTCCTTGAAATGTTCAGGGACTTTAGGTGAAATTGCGAACAAAATTATCTGAAAAATTGAAAGGAAATTATTCATAAATTCACCAGGAAATTTGTCTTTTATCAGAGTAAATTTGGCGGCGCCTGAAGGCTTATACGGCGTTCTTCCTTAGCACGGCAGAGTACTGGTCTCGCAATGATAAATGTGATAATTAGCCGCACATGTTGCAAGAAACAATCGACGAAGCTCGACATCTAAAACGAACTGAAGTTGCCGAGAGCATGATGTTTTGATCGACAGGAGCTGGTTTGATCTGGAACGGAGTCCCTCATGTCTGATGCCAGTACGTCACTCGGCGCTTTGCGATGGGAACCCACCTGGGGCCCGGGGCTGGGGTGTGAAACACATGAAAGCGATGCGTTTGTGTTTGCGACTCAAGAGCACTTCACTCAGCCCTTTCGTTATCTGTCGAGTTAATCGGCTAATTATTATTCACTTTGAGCCACTGTTAGGAGCCTGTTTATTCCCGACTCTTCCCTCGAGTATTGGTTGTCGAGAGTCCTATTGTTCATCCTTCAGCGAAGCGGGAATGGCAGAAAAAAGAGCCTTGGGTGTTCAGCATGTAGAGTCTAATTGGATTCAACTATTACTCTTGTTGGTTTTTTGGAATTTGAATAAAAAATGTTCGGAAATTGGTTTTCATAATATGCACCTCATCTAGATATTTTAATCACAATGTAAGAGTAATACAGTCATCTCTTGTTACAACGTTATGGAAGGTGAATTTATAGTAAAACGCTGTTTTCGCTGAACGCTGTTGGATAAGATGATTTGAAAAACACTTTAACGAGAAAAGACCGCCCGGAACTTATAAAATTAACGTTATTTCCGGGTAAACGTTGGTAACAGGAACATTTTAACGAGATAAAATTGTATTTCTTTCTGCAAACTGTAAGTTGGACCTGAAATAACATATTACTTCTATTGTTCTTTTCGGAATTCATTACCTGCCGAAGATGTTGCAACATTCTCTTGGGAAACCACTTTTCATCAGGGTTTATCAATTGTAATATACAGGGTTATTCAAAAGTCACGCACCACTAGCCATAACTTTAGTTCTAATTATGATATCAATTTGCGGTTGAAGACGTTTTTCCTCATATCGAGAGGAAACTTTCTTAGGTACTTTCCAGTTGTTGATCCTTTCGGGGGAGGGGGCGGGGGGGCAACTCAAAAATTTCAAAATGGCCACCCCTCTCATGACCAGTGGTGCGTGACTTTTGAATAACCCTGGTATATGTGTGGTATCTGAAAAATCCGTGCCAGTTTTTGGCATTTTAAAAGTTTCTTGATTTGTCCGCAACATTCCCAGTGTGTAATACTACCTTGTAAACTATCCTCACTAAGTGAACCGTCCATTTTTGTTTCAGATCGATTAACCTCGGTGAAGATGCCCCTAACCCGGAGCTGACTCTGATCCCGATCGGACCCTGATCCCTGGTGCCGGCCCCGGAAGCTCCGCTCGACTATGCTGGACCCTTGCGTCCTCTACGTGACCAACTTCGTGGGCCCGTGATCGGGCCGGGCCCCCGCGCGGTGCCGCCCTTATGTGACGCCCGATGGACGAAGATGCCCCGCAGCCCTCGACCGCCCCCACCCGCCGAGCGTAGCGATGCCCTGCCCGGCCGCCGAGCGCATCTTCATCCTCGTCTACCTGGTGCTCCTCCTCAGCTGCCGGGACTGCGACTCCAACGCCAGCACGCTCACGCCGGTCGTCGCCACCCGATGGGGTAAGATCCGCGGCGTCACCGTCACCGCCGGCAAGAACCTCCGCCCGGTGGACATGTTCCTCGGCGTCCCGTACGCCACGCCCCCCGTCGGCCCGTACCGCTTCAACCCGACTAAGGCCCCGTTGCCGTGGGACGGGGTTAAGATGTGCACCGCCCTCAGTGCTGTGTGCCCGCAGCGGCTGCCCGATTTGTCGAACGATACCCTCGCGCTGGAGAGGATGCCCAGGGGGAGGCTGCTCTACCTGAAGAGGCTCCTGCCGTTCCTGCAGAACCAGAGCGAGGACTGCCTGTATCTTAACATCTACGCTCCGTCGCAAGGTAAGCCTATTTCCCCTCTAGAAAAAGTATTTTCTATTATTTATTTATTTATGTGGTTGATAGACGAAAATACACTTAAAGAAGGCAAAAGGAAAATAAAGCCGGCCTTGTGTTTGGAACGGGCGGTCGTTTTAGACTAAGGGGAAAAGTGATGCTGTAACTATACAGGGTCCCTCGTGGTATTATGCTTAGTTTTTTACTTACCTCTTTCGTCCATCGGAACTACCCGCTATTACTCGATTTACTCCAGATATGATTGATATTTTTTCAATTTTGATCTTTACATTTGGGACATGGAATGTACAGGGCATTTCTAATAAATTGACAGAGGTTGTATCGGAGGTAAAAAAGTATAATGTAGATGTCGCCGTGTTAACAGAAACGAAAAAGAAAGGCACAGGATCAGAAAACTTAGGATGTTATGATCTGTTCTATAGTGGTGTCAGTAAAGATCAACGCGCACAGCAAGGAGTCGCCATACTTATCCGGAAAAGTTTGCGTCCGTCTATAACTACTTGGGAAGCAGTAGACCAGCGGATCATCAGAATGCATTTTACACTGCATGGTCACAAGGTGGCCCTGTTAGGAGTATATGGTGTGAATGATGATGCTCCCGTCAATCTAAAGGATCAGTTCTTTGAGCAACTCAACGACGAGGTTCTGAGGGTTGGAAGGACAAGGGAGGTCATTGTCATGGGAGATTTGAATGGTAGAACCGGACGAAGGAATGGTTCTAAAGTTGTTGGACCTTTCGGTGAAGAGGCGATGAATGACAACGGTGCACGCATTATTGATATGTGTGAACAAAACGAGTTGAAAATACTGAACGGATTCTACCAACATCGAGATATCCATAAGTACACGTGGGTTCAGCAAACTCGGGGGCTGAAGTCAATCATCGACTACGCGGTCACCAGGCAAACGAGTACCATGAAGGTTCAACAAGTAAGAGTTTGCCGGGGGTTCTCCTGTGGTAGTGATCACCATTTTCTCAAGGCGGAGATTGCATTTCCGGTTAAGTATGGGCTGCAGAGGAATACCTTGCAACATCAGAAGTGCCAGCCACAAGGAACGAAGATCGAACAAGTGCACTACAACATCGATAGCTTACAGCATGAAAGCGTGAAAGCGCTCTACAGGAAGCGGCTGGATGAGAAACTGGGAGTAGAAACTTTCGATACTGCAGAAGAGTTGTACCAGTTCATCAAAAGTTGCATACATTCAGCTGCGAAGGAAGCCCTGGGTATGTGTAATGAGAGCAAGGATGTACAGAAACCCTACTGGTGGGACAAAGAGGTAGAGGAGGTAATTGAAGAAAAGCGTAGGAAGTACCATGACTATCTGGCTTCTAGGACTGCAGACACCCGCGGCGCGTATAGGAAAGCCCAGGCGAGGGTTCGTCTTTTAATCACCAGGAAGAAAAACGAGTCTTGGGAGACCAACTGCTCAAGGATTGACACATACCTGGGGGGAAGGAAGAGTGCTGAGAGCTGGAAGCTGATCAAAGGCCTAAGAAGGGACATGAAACGGGACATTATATCTCCGATAACAATCTCACAGCTTGACGAACATTTTAATAAATTATTGACGGAAGGACGACCAGAGTTTCAAACGGGGAATGCTGAAAATATAGTCGAGGATCACTCAATGGAAATTCGAGTTGAGGAGGTGGTCAAAGCAATCAGGGAATTGATGAATGGAAGAGCTCCTGGGCCAGGAAACATTCCAGCCGAGTTAATTAAATGTGGGACTGGCAAGTTGGTTAACCATCTCAGGGATTTGCTGCAGAAGTGCATTGACGGTGATGACATCCCGAAAGAATGGAAAGAGGCCTGGATAACAGCGTCGCATAAAAAAGGAAGGAAGGATGACTGTGGGAACTACAGAGGGTTAGCGGTGACAGGAACGATAAGTAAAATTTATGGAAAAGTGTTGAAAGCGAAGATCGAAGAGGAGTGGACCCCGTTCGAGGCGGAGGAGCAAGCAGGTTTTAGGGCTGGTCGGTCTACCGCTGATCATCTGTTCTGTGTTACCCAGTTAACCGAAAAGAAGAGAATTGTTGGCCAGGAGCTTCATTTAGTGTTTTTGGATATTGAAAAGGCTTATGATAGTATTCCTCTTGTGAAACTCTGGGAAGTCCTAGAAGAAACTGGTTTTAGTAAAGGACTTATTGGGGCAGTCAAGCAGTTTTATCGGGGGGCTTTTGCTAGAATTAAGTGCCAAGGAAGGCTTTCAGACGGTTTTTTTGTCACCAAGGGGCTTAAGCAGGGATGTTGTCTGTCACCGACGCTGTTTAAGATATATCTAGAGCACGTTCTGAAGGAATGGAAAAGAAAGTGTGCCGGCATGGGCGTCCCTCTAAATGACCAAGAAACACTGTTCACGCTATGCTTTGCTGACGACCAGGTAGTCATAAGTCAAGATCACGATGACGCGGAGTATATGACCCGGAAGTTGGTGGAGGAGTACCGCAAATGGGGCCTCGAGGTTAGTGTCCGTAAGACAAAAAAGATGTCAGTCGGAGGTGCTCAGCAAAGCATAGTCCTGGAGGATGGTCAACATATAGAAAGTTGCGAACAATACAAGTACCTGGGGGTGAACCTGACTTCGGATGGGAAGCTGGATCAGGCCATTCGGGACCGTAATCTTCTAGGAAGGAAAGCCATCGCCATGCTTAATGGGATCCTTTGGGACCAAAGGATTTCCAAAGACAACAAGAAGAGGATTTATAACTCGGTTGTCAAGCCTATTATCACCTATGGCAGTGAAGTGTGGCAGTTGAAGAAGCGGACCCAAGAAATGCTCAAGGCGACCGAGATGGATTTCTGGCGAAGATCGGCTGGAATCTCGAGGAGAGAACGTGTCAGGAATGAACGTGTCCGAGAGATAATGGGCGTTGAGGGGACGATTGTGCACGATATCATGACCAAGCAATTGGTATGGTATGGGCATGTGCAGAGAATGGCTGATACCAGGTTGCCGAAGAAGGTGTTGGAGTGGGTCCCCCCAGGTAGGCGACGGAGAGGGCGTCCAGCCAAACGGTGGGTAGAGGGCATCCATGAAGAGATGGAGAGATGCCAGCTTCCGGAGGATCTCTACCATGACAGATTCCTGTGGAGAATAGGCGTCGCAGAGCGCCCTAGCGCGCCGTAAAAGCGGCTCATACATACATACATCTTTACATGGGTTACTTAATGAGAGTTTATTGGAGTGAAATTTAGAATATATATGATTGCGAAGCATGTTTAGTTGCCCCACAACCCGAGTAATGAAACTCTGAGTAAAATTCTCTCCGTGAGAGAGCATGCCAATCCGCAGAAGTGTTGAATCTTAGGAGGTAGATGTAAGTTTAAAATGTGTACCCAGTGGTGTAATTGATGTAGTATAAGGGTATACGAACAACCATACGGTAAATTGACCGATGAAAAGGGAAAAGTTGAGGGAAACATACTCACAATATCTCAATGTTACAGCATGCAGAAACATTAACGACAATTGAACTGAGATAGCACCAAAAATTTATAAGATGATTTGGCGAAGTTGAACATGCTTCATTTTTCCCATAAAACTCTCCGAATGCCTTAACTTTTCAGACTATAAGCGCCAGTAAAATAACGAAAATATGACTTCCGCAAAAGCTTTGATTCAGAGCTTTTGCAAAATTTTATCATATGAAAGTTGTAAATGGAATATCACAAGTACATCTGGAACTGAACTATCCATTAAACTTGGATGAAGCTTATGTTGTTTGTCGAAGTTGTCAGATCCTTGAATACTCAATTAAGGGATTGTCCGCGGCAGCCCGTGCTTCATGAACGTAAACTTTTTAACGATTTCGTAGAATAAGAGTATTCACGCTGTAAAGATTTAATGTGCAGAAGTAAAGCAGGTTAATTTTTCTCTCGTTTTTCACCCGACTGAAAACCCCTGTCAGCGATTTCTCTTTTCAGTCCTCTGAAGTTTTCAAAACAGTCCTGTTCGTGGCGAATTAAGTTTATTTGCACCATAGTGATAATTAAGTATTTGATCGATCGTACCTAGCTGAATTAGAGAAAAAAGCGTATAGACTCCGAAGAGAACTTAAACGTATAATTAACGAGTTATGTTCCCTCAGTTTTTCACTACAAGGATCAGAACCCGAGACCTAGATTAGAGACCTATATAGAGACCTAAACAAGTTCAAATCAAATTTCCGTTTGCCGCCATGAATTCTTGCGCTCCTCACACAAGCACCCAGCGCCAAACTAGAGTCCCTTAATACTGAGAGTCAAGACAACATCCTCTCATGGAGTCATAAACGGGAATAAAGATTACACAAATTGAAAGTTTTTCGTAATCTTTCATCGGCCCATTCTTAAATTCCTCTCTCAGTTCCTTCTCTCATTCCGTTTGTTCCTTGTCGAACCCTTAATTCCCCGGTCCATTCCAGATTATAATCTTTGCAATCGGTGAAAATGCAATCTTTATTCCCGTTTGTGACACTGTGAAGGCCTAAAATACGGTAACCAATCAGGAATGGATTCAAATTGTCTCGACTCTGAGTATAAAGGGACTCTACGCCAAACCAGGCTTCACTTTTTCCCCGTGCTTTTAGATACGAGCACTCCGTCTTTATGTTTTTGGTGTAGACACTCTAGGAGAACCCGGCCAGCTAATTCGACTTTCGAAAATAAGTTTTAAATCGACTGATTCGTGTTAGAAATACGCTTTCCGAAACTCTCCATAACGGATTATTTGGCTGAGAGCGTGGGACCGGGCCGGCAACGAGAGCTGGCGTCGCGGCGCGGGCTTGCATCCGGGAACCGTTGAATCTTCCCGTGTCATTTGGAATGCTATCAAGCGTGATGCTTTATGACACCATTCATCATAGAAACCTGGGCACCGATTCTTATGAGCCCGGGCGTGCCGGATGGCCCGGTAATGTCGTTATTCCAACCCCCGAGAGTGGCGGATATCCCGTGTTTCCGCGCTCGGTTCGGCGACGCGGAAGACAGCGCGCT